AAGAAGAAACATGAATAACTATTTCTTATTCGTAAATTAAGTCCCTGTAAAACCGGCTGCAACTTAATCAATGAAAGTGACAGGTGCATTTAAACTACAAACAGTACTTGAAACACAAATGAATTGACGACAAACAAACTTTTACTTATGTTGCAAATAAATTCGGTTCTAATTGTAGTCTCTGACCGTGCCTTTAGTATCGAGTTTCAGCGTTTTGAAGTTGAAATTTCGACTTATTTGCGGTTTCGGCAGCGTACCTGCGGAAACCACGGTGGAAAGTTTTTAGGGTACTTTAGGTCGCTATTAGCATGACTTTGAACGTGCCCCATTGTAAAGGGAACTTAGTACATTGCAAGTATTTGTATTTATTGACGTTTCAAAAGTACCAAACTATGGTTTAATTGAAATAAATGCTTTGACTTTTGTACGTAAGTACGCTAGCTTTTTTTTTGTTTTGACTTAGTAAATACGTAATCGGATGTCATTGTATTTTAATAGCGAGATTTAAAAACTTGGCTGATGTTGTTGTTGTCACAACTTACCATGCTTTCGAACCGAAACCGCAAAGAAATAGAATATCTGTTTCGGTTGTTAAAATTAGCCACAGTTTTAAATGACGTAATAAAATAATCCAACATTCCTCAAACTCCAAATTCGAGTATAAACTCTTAAATTCGCTGGAAATAAGCCTTTTTAAGTAGGTCATTACCTGATCGCGGTACAATGGCACGCCTATTACGAGAAGCGATGTGAGGACCCTTAGCAGGTAGCTTCCTAGATAGTGCAGCTGTTCCTGATACAATCTCTTTGTTGAGCTGATGTGAATTATCTATTCACACTCATGTTACTCTGTTCCCATCTCTGTGGGCCAATCAAACTGTTACAGATGCATAATACATTAATACCTAGTGTTAACTCAAGTCTATTAGTACTAAACAATATTGTACATCTGTAGTATTAGCTCTATTCACGATTTGTGGAAATGTTACGAATATTTAATACTGAGTGACTGTGTACTGACTGAGTTTCCATGTAAAATCTGTTGTAGCTATCATTGTAAGCATCAAAGTCGGATCAAATGCAATACACTGTCGAGATTAGCGTTCCCGAAAATATACCTTCTTCTTCGTTAAATGTAAAGAAAGTAAAAAATCCGTACTTTTTCTTACATAGAAAGCAATTTCATAAATTCACTAAGCAAATATTTAACCTCGTATATTTCTAGGAAAAAAGGGGAGTTATCTGCATAATAGCTCCTTGATCTGTGCTTAATTTTAATAAAAAAATTCAAATGCGGAAGACATCAATTATTCTGAATATATTTTTTGTTGCGAATAAATTGTATAGTTTATGTTGATAGCCGGCTTCTGTTCGACAAACTGTATGCATTAAAATATCAAACTGAAGTTCTCAGGGAAGATTAAATGATCGGCTGGCTGAGTTATAACACAGCCTTTGTTACGTGAAACGCTGAGTGGTTCTACTCAGCTGAAGGACACTAATGGAAATACATTATGCATCAATAGACTCATGATGACACTGACGTAGTTATACTAACAAGCAATAATAACTTGGCCTGCTAGTAAACTAGGCAAATCTTATCAACATAGAGTGCAATTCGGAGGCTCTCTCTCTAAACACGATTGTTGAAAGTCCATTATCAGTCGAAATAGGGTTTAGCGAAGCTCTAAGCTCTAATCTCTAATCCCGTTTTGGGTACTTCAATTTGTAAATTAACACCAACGGTAGCACTTAATTTAGTTTAAAACGTAAAGTAATTAAAGTTTTAGGTATAACAATAAACTTATTAGTTTTTGTATTGTTGAATGTGAGTTCATAGTTTCATATTTTAAGGCATTGAGTACTTACGTATGCAATTCTTACATTGCAGTTCTCATAGTTACGCTATGTTATACAAAAAACCTACTACTGTTTTGGAAATACCTATAATTATTTTTGTTAATTGGCTATCGTATGTAAACATTCTAATGCATGAGGCAGCGAGATTTTAACGAGTTAACATAGATTTCGACGTAAATTCAAAGAACTCAACAGCAAATAGCTATCCACGAAAATGCATGGAGGCAGAATGTAACATGAATTGTAATGGTGGTCGTTATATTTAATAGCTGTTTTACTCGTGTCGTGTCTGATGGAGTCAGACACAGACACTAACCATATTATAATCCGACAAAATTACCATGACATACAATTTTGTCTTACGTTTCCAAGAACAACCACATTTCGATTTTAAACGGAAATTATGTTCTTCAATTTATTTAGAGCTGCCAGTGTGTTGTCGCTGGCGCTGTCCAGACTTATTCAATTAGGGAATACCCAGGAATAATAGTGTTAGTAGATCCACTAGACTAATAATTGTAGAGCTTTTTATCCCAAGACAATACTTCACAAACATTATACATTGTTATACGTATACTTTACTCGCATACGTAGGTACATATGCGAGTATATCTATCTAACTCTAACGAATACATATTCATCGACTCAATTACTTAAACTAAGTTGACAATGAGTTTAAGGAAATCTCTAGAAACCATTAACCTCCTCCCGAGACGGCTCATAATATGCTAAAACAATCTACAAATACTACGCAATAATTTATGGAACAAGACGTTTACACGCGCTAAATAAACTTGTCTTCAAAATACTCATACTTAATGGCTAAACCGAACGAATTCCTACAATAAACTTTGCATAGTGTTAAGTTAAAGCAGTGTTTTGTTATTTGAGAGAAGAATCTAAGTTTGGTTATGGTAATACTGTATTGTAGCGACATCGACGGCGTCGCGACTGACCGCAAGCGACAGCAGCGACACCGTCTACGAAACGCCAACTTCGATAGTTCAACTCGACATTCATCCGAACTTCGAACTTTGGATACATTGTTTTTCTGTTATTGTCTTGAAAATTATAAAATAATTGTTTCGTTAAATTATCGCAACGACCATTCAGAGTGTAATTAAAAACAAAGCTTTATACAAGCCCTTTATAGTTTTGATTGGAAAATAAACTAGAATATAGAATGTAAACCTATCGATCGTAGAAAGAAAAAAAGAATGAAAATCCGTATGTGATAAAACGTGTCGACAAACGTGCCTGAAAGCAGATTAACTAGAAACTGTAAACAATAGGATGCATCTATGCGTCGCGTTCGCGCTTCCGCATACAATATTTTGAGTAATCAAAACTATCCATCACGCAATTTAGATATTGTCCGGCAAATGCAATCCGTCAGCTATATCCATTTACCCACAACAGACGTATTACAGGTGACTGTCATTTACATATCTGTCAAAAGCAACGTGAAGATCGATGCCCACGAATCTGTTTTGTGTATGGAAATAGTTACGCATAGTTAATAGGAATAATTGAGTCGTCTGGTAGCAATATTAAACTTATACGGCAATCGAAGAACAGAACAGCTTCCGTCACACGGCAGCGGCGCGGCAGCTTTCAGATACTTTGAAATAGATCGAGGACGGCACCTCGGATAACATCGCGCTGTCATACGTGTTTTATTAACACCATTAACTCCCCGAGCTAGGCAATATTATGTTTATCCACCGCTCCTATAAAAGTGAAATTTCACAACATCTTCGGATTAAAAGCTTATGTTCTAACTGGAAATCTGGTACGAAAAGATTCGGATTAAATCGATTACCTTCTTTGAACGGATTAATATACTTCAATGTTATTGTTTGTCGGGACTACTACATTATGAACATTCCAATAGATGAGCTAAATTAATATAAGGGTCGTACGTCTAAGTACATTTGCTTCGATTTAGATAGTGAACATTGATTGAGCTCTCCGATCTAATGAATACTAATTAAAAGCATCTTCGGGACTGCAGCTGTGTCACGTAGGATAAGCTAGGCAATCATCGCGTATAGACGGGCAAACAACCCTCTTTAAGTACACGGATCCAACGCAGCGCACATTCGGAAATTCAAATTTCCTGTGTTAAACACACAGCTTTACCTAATCTTATGTTCCTACATGTCGTAGATCAGAAACAATATAATTAATTGAAAAAGAAAAGAGCCTTTTCGCACGCGACCGTAAAGTTAATACATAAAGACTGACTGACTGATCAATTGCGTAATGCAATTAGTATTATTGGTGTCTTACAATAGTTTATCATAAACGAATTTAAATTACATCCCCTGTATATGTTTAAATGGTCATTTGAAATAGAGAAGAATATCTAAAAATTTCAACTGTAGCTTGGAAATCTTATTCTTATCCCAAAGATTCATGCTAATTTATTTTTCCTTTAAATCACTTGAGTTTTGAATGTAAATACAGTACATTTTATTCATTCGTTTGCATTTTAGGAGAAAGACGATGTATTTTTCATCTATTTGCGAAACCAATAACCGGAATTGTATCTGTCAAACACGTGTATTGTCGACTGGTCGCCATAGCTGACCGGATGCTCTTTTGATATTTTCCAATCGTGCAGGAAATCAGACAAATTCTAGCTACATAGTTCATGTTCGTGTTACATGGGAGAAACATATGGAAATGACAAGCATATGTTTATTGTGCCCTATACATTAAGTACAAAATTACATGTCATCAAAGTTGCATGTTGGTAATGACGTTTGTGATAATACCACACAACTTGATCGGCAAAGATATATGTATATATATATTGATGTTATTATGTTATATGAAGTACCTTTTAATACTTATATTTACCTAATCCTGGTTGGGGAAAGCCTACAGGTATAGAATATAACCTCTTTTCTATCAGACTGCGTCGTACTCGTACCCCACTTTGGTGAAGCTATTCGTTACGTGGGCGATGTAATTAAGACATGTTCACATTAACCTTCATATTTTTATTAAAATAGGCACCTACACGTAGAACTAGAATCAACTTTTAACACGAAAATTGATAACTATCTTCTTTCTCCGCAACATATTTTAACGTTTGGTTGAGAACACGATCTTAATGTTTTATTTTCGTTTGTAACAGGAATCAGTTACCCCGCCAGTATGGAGCACTTCAAATCTTCACTCACTCATACCGTCAAGAACCGAGACGAGGCAAGTATCTAACCGTATAAATCCGTATATTATATCAAACCTTGATTGCACACTGTTCTACGAGGAAATGAAATTTGTCCCAGAGGCGTACACTTACCGTCGCTTAGAAATATGAAGATTCAATTGGAATCAAATGTGGGAACAATGTGGCGATTATAAATGAATGAAACCTATTCGCGTTTAATCGTATATTAGTCGCGTCTGAGCGCGGTCTATAAATATAAGCATAACTCAAAACTGTATAGACCAAGTATCAAATATTGAAGTCTTTGCTTCCCCTTACTAAAGTGTAAAATATGCGCTCGCAACTTCACAACTTGAAATAAACCCTTTTTCCTCATTATTTAATAAAAGATGAAGTTGACGGAAAGAGTCAAGTTAATGGAGGTACCTAAGTAGGTATATGTTATTGAAACAGATTTACCAAGTTGGTGTTGACTCACCGTGTCTATAGTGGCGACAAATATTGTGTGAACGTGCTGAAACATGGCTTCTACAGCGAGGTAGCGATGCAGAAGGGGCATGACATTACTGTCTCCAGATTACCTCGGGGAAATGTAAAAACGATCGGTCTTTTGAGTCGAATATAAAAGGGGAGTAAGTCATTATATGCACCAGGAGATTTTAAAGGGTATTTGCAAATGAGTCTGGAGACAGGATGGGATAGTGCCAATGGTGAATAATGTAAATACCCGTTCGTGTTTGTCTCTAAACTAATGAGTTCTTGAAGTATCACTAGTATTTGCATTTTCTACCGTATGTTGTTGTGATAGAATCATGTTTAGAATACAAATTTTACTGTATGAAACTGCATAAACAACAAAAAATAATAAAATCTAATCTAAATGAAGTTTGCCAATTCATGTCGGTATTCAATTATGAGTGCAAAGCTCAAACACCTTTTTCAGTTTACTAACAATATTTTATTCCAATTACCAGTTTTTTACATTTTCTTGAAGCTGTGAGTCTGTCAAAGGAATTTTGCTTTTTATTTCAACATTTCTGATTTTGTAGCCGGTAAAGTAATGAACAGTTCAGGGGCCGTTGCTATTTGCCAAAGATGTAGTAAAATAAATATAGTTTTATTTGCATTAAATTGAATGCTATTACAGTAGGTACATAAGAAATACATGCTATGTTAAATATGAGGTAATTCTTTTGAGATTTTAACATATATATTATTTGACAGCCAACTCCGGATCAATGCCCTGCGTTGAAGGAAAGCGAAGCGGACATCGACACCGTGGCGATATACCCGACTTTTGATTTTCAGGTGCGTACCTACTTCAGTACTTCTAGATATTATGAATAAGGTGTGTTTGAGAACCCTGCATATTTTATTAATACTCCAGTAACATGAAATGAACCGGCTTTTTCTGGAGTAAAGTGAAACTTACTAATATTATAAATGTGTATGCTTGTGAGGATGTACTACTGATTATGGTTATTATTCTGTCATGCAAAATCTACTAAATAGGTCTTATAGGTATAGAGAAAGATTACCTACAGTCTGAAATAACACACAGGTACTAAGGTTATATTTTACCCCGCCAACACGGGTGAAGCTGCTAACTGATGCTAGTATCAAATAAACGGGGGCATTGTAGCCGCCATCACAGTTGATTAGACCTGAAACGACAGGGACGAACTTATTAGCTTTCGAGTTGACAAAATTCCATCATCCATATTCATTTGCAAAACAACGTCATTATTCATTTAAAAAGTTTTCTAAAGTCAAATGTCAAAGGGATTGTATTGTGTACAGAATCTGGGTAAATATGTTACTGTACTCTGTAGTATTACGTATTCGGGTCTTTACGATTGTTGCGCGTCGATACATTTGTCGTATGTTTGCCGCACGCGGGCGCGCGCCTTGCCACCTATACATAAAGTACACGGTACACACCCTACATAGTCCACATACTAGGATCTCACGCATAACTAATTTACGTCATTCTCTTACTACACTACAGATTGTAATTAACAATGTTTTGTTTTTACTATCAAATGTTTGTGGTTACACACACCAATAACTCAAATTCAGATGCCGAAAATTTTTAATATATGTCAATTTAATTAAGAGACCACTACATGTACTTACTTTGTTATTGAACAATACTGCATTGATATGTTACCGATTATTTCGTCGTTAATACGTTATTGTTCCGGTCACAAACAAGCCGAAAGGGGATTTATACAGGAATTTATCTTTTGATTAATGCTTGAATTCTGCGAAGTATTTCGTTCTGTGATGCTATGCTTTTCTACAACAATTTTGCATGAAAATAGTCAGTCTAAAATTGTTACTTGAACTTATTTCAAAATAGGTACATGCCATCTATTTTCGAAATAAGATGTTCTTATTATATCTAATGCATATTTTCCAGTATAATTCAGAACACGGTTGCCAATCAGTCGCAACCGAAGAGAAATATCTCTAACATTTCGGGCAACGTGCATCAAAGACTCGAAAATGGTACAAAATATATTTGTTTGACATCCTATAAGCGGGAAATGATGAAAATAGAAATGCATGTTGTGTGCTCGTTAATTCATGAGCAATCCAACTGTAGAAGAGGCTTCCGCTTGTATGGTTACAGTGCAAATAATTAATTATTGCGGTCATATTCGGCGCCGAGCTCCGATGGTGTAACTCCCTCTTTAGTTAGCGTCTTATAAAGCCTAGAACCGACCAACTCCGTCTGTAATCAATTGCTCTTATAAGTTAACGTTCAAACTGCTCGCTAGTTTAAAGTTTTTGTATGTTCCAAGTTATTTGAAAACGTTTAAGAATATAGGAGTTTAAATTAAACTGTTGATTTCCTAAGTTGGATAGGTACTATTTTTAGGTTTTCGTATATTAAAATAAATTCGCGCGGCATTCCTTTTAACTAATATTTCTCTATCACAGCTTAGACAATACATTTAGAAACAATAAAAAATTAAATCAAAACTGTTATATAAAAACTACTTCAAAACCTTTGTGGGTTTGGTTTTGATCTGAAATAAAAAAAGAAAAGATTAAAGGTCACATTTTAATTTGATGTGAAAATATGTAATAGGATTAGTTCTAAGCCGGACACAGATAAGTTGATCTCAGATAGTTTAAGCTTATAAGACTAAAGTCTTTTTCTTTGTCTGTATATAAGTATGAAAGTGCACCTTAACTTTGCAAACTTAGGTGCTAACTTCAGTATTGAAAGGCTATATAGATATATGAAAGTGTTAGGAAAAAATATGGAATACTAGCTTCTTCCAGCGGCTTCTCCCGCGTCCCCGTGGGGTAAAAAGTAGCCTATGTGTAATTCCAGATCATGATCTATCTCTATTCCAAATTTCATCTCGATCCCTTCAATCGTTTTGACTTGAAAGAGTAACAAAGACAACACACACATACATCTACACACACTTTCGCAATTATAATATTAGAAGGAAGTACGATGAATTATATTAAAAATGGAACAAAGGTTCAATTTAGAAGTAACACATAACATAACATCATGCCTTTTATCCCCGAAAAGGTAGGCAGAGGTGCACACAGAAGTAACAGCTTTTACTATAATATGTTATGTGTGCCATGTAATAGGGGGTGAGCCTATTACCATATACCGGGCACATTTCCAGACTCCGTGCTACTACTGAGATTTTTTTTAAAACCCAGTAATACTTTGCCCGACCCGGGAATCGAGCCCGAGACCCCTTGCCCGGCAGTCGCACTTGCGACCACTCGGCCAACGAGACAGTCGAGAATTTAGAAGTGTAATAGATACTAAACTACTCTATGTACTAAATCAACCTTTATTTTCTTATCTGTGCAACATGTAACTTGACTGAATGTAAATAAATTAATAAAATATAAGTACGAAGAAACTCGACAGCGAAGAGTAAATATAGAGTTCCCGTGTATAAACCTCTACAACAACCCTTTACGGCATTAATTAGGTATTGAGAGGTAATACGATCTGGGTAATTTTGATACAAAAATCTCCTGTTTTTTATACAAATTCGATGTTTTAGATACAAAATTGTATTGAAACATCATTAACGGAAGGGATTAATTCTATGAGTAGAATAATTCTTGTTTAATTTTAAAGGGGTCTGTTGCTTGGCGACGTCGTCCCTTCCCTATCAGGATTTTGAGTTTAATGTTTTTTTCTCGAAACAGATAAGTAACCTGGAGGGCTTAATTTGTTTTACATTTGTTCTCTGATTGGCCGGCTCTAATGAACCAACCAATCAGGAGACTGAACGCGGCAACGTAGTAGTTTAACTGTACTTGTACTTACTTCAGATTTGTAATATTTGCTACCATTCCAGGTTTTCGCAGACTCTAAATAAACACCGTATAAATGAAGAACATTATTATAGAACGTAATTTGTATGAAGTGTCCATCGTTATCAGGTAGCGTTGTAAAAGAACGGTCAAACTAACCCTTAATATTCTTTGTGTAACGGATTAAACAAACATTGTAACTACTTCTAGTCAAAATTCCAACGAAACCATTGCTGTCGGGTGTTCCCATCAGAAACACGAAACTATTTTGCATATGAATACACTTTCATCCCGAACCCCGCACGAGATACGCCGCCATTTTAAGGCTTTATTATCTTTTTTGTTTTTCTATTCGCTGTCCATTAACAACAACACGCTGACATAATACCTTTTTAAATACTGCCGGCGGCCGATACTTGAGGAAAATAATACTCTCTTTTTCTTTTTTCCATTACTTTTTAACTACGTAGTTATCGTACCTACATATTCAATACATATTTGGATACTCTGCCTTTTATTGAGTGGGAAAATTATTCAATGGCTTCTCTCGCCTTACATATGCTCTTTTAGATGTTAAGGTTGGATGTCCCATCCACAAATGCCGTGATATGCAGCTAAATCTTTACTCACAAGCGATGTTTCATTGTACACGTAACTGAAGCATGGTTTCTAGTTCACTAACAACCTAGGCTATCTACAATTAGTATAATGATAGTAGTATCATTCGTGTTCGATAATTTCCTTATCGATCAACTACATAATCTATTATTTAGCAATGAAAGTCCCTGCAAGCGTCGTTTGTCATCGATGTGATTTATTATGCAAGCTGATTTGGTGCATTCGCTGTTCTACCCACGGCTTCCTTAAATATTTAACAATCTTTGGTACTATTTACATTGTTTTGTTTGCTTTTCTTTGATTTAGCTATGGTAACATTGTGTAAGCTTACTATGTTATGAAACTATTGGATTATTTATTAAAGTATTAATACCTATCTTAAATATTTTGCAAAATATCGAAAAGAAAATCACCTAAAGACGCTATGTGATACATGATTCATCATATTTCATCTATGTTTACAAGACATATTTTTCTTGTATACCATTGTTGGTTTTGTTTATCAATAACGTATTATGGGTAGAGGTGGGTGTTTAAGACCGATATATCAGCCGAATATGGTTGTGTGAAGGTTAGAGGCTGTCTGGGGAGGTGTGGTCAAATTGCTTGGCAGTCCACATCTGCCCACATTTGTTATACAACATGTTTAAAAACGGGTTAATCGCGCGATCAATATATTATTTTTATGTATTAATTGATGTGTTAATCTTATACTATTATATAAAGCGAAAGAGTTTGTTTTTTTGTTTGTTTGTTTGAACGCGCTAATCTCCGTAACTACAAGTCTGATTTGAATAATTATTTTTGTGTTGGATAGCGCATTTATCGAGGATGGCTATAGGCTATAAAACATCAGGCTACGACCAATAGGAGCTGAGCAGAATGTGTGAAACCGCGCGGAAGTAGCTAGTGCTTTTCTAAAACTAAAACAATATTTTATATACGGAATACAGAAAATGTATAGTTTTAATTAGATGAATTTTAAACGTATTTCTCCTGATTTGCAAAGTCGATCTCTAAATGCTGTTGCTGAAAATAACGAGGCCATTTCTCATAAAGTAATAGTTTAACTTTACACTTTCTCATTGAGTAGGTTTTCTTTCGACTAGTTCACAACAAAGTTAGTGTTGGGACTAGGTCAGGACCTTGTTTAGCCACTTATGTGTTCTCTGATTGATGTTACGTCTACAACAATAACACTTTCGCTGTTCCACATTTGGTAGCCTAGTTCCAAGTGAAAATCCCTTTTCCTCACTTTACGACTTTCTTTAAATGCTGAGTGAACGTGATTGTTTTCAATAACTGTAGTACCCAATGTGTTCGGAAGTTTCTCCCTTCCTCTACTATATTGTAAATTTCATTGTATACATAACTATAGAACAAAATTTTTAAGGCAACAATATAATTCTGATCCGTGAGAAAATAATGAAAAGTGGTACAGAAAATGTCGCTTGTGCCGACGCGACGCACACACGAGCGCAGGACGGCGCTTGTACACGCAACATTTGCCGATTACAATGTGAATTTAACACAATATAATGTCAATGAAAAGAATTTGGAAACGATGCGATTGTTAAAACGGACAAAATGCTATACAAAGTTTTTCACAAAACGATCTCGTTGAACTCGAAATCCAGGCGAGTTGTTGCTGGTAACTTCGATAATTTGTACGGACATACTCCATCGTGCATTCGTTTGAAGCACGGCATCGTACAGCTGGTATGTCGTATTCGGAAGCATCCGACCGAACTTCACAGCGTTTAAAAGTTCACGTAGCAAACTCGACGAACTTGTTACTTGTTACATTTTTATCGAGCGTTAACTGCAACTTATTTGATAACAATCCGACGCTGAAGCATGGCGAGCCCCTTCGAGCATGGCATTTATGCTTGAATTGCGTTGTTACACCTGTATCGCTTACATTGTTAAATCCGCCACGGCCCCTAATGGCCGCGTCAATAAAACTTTCTCATTTTTATAATCGAAATCTAATTCAGTGTTATCTAGGATAGAGCTAAGCACTTTTTTCTCCTTACCCAATCTTTTCTTTCATAAGAAAAAGGTACGTTTTCAAATAATCTCTCACACACACACACACACACAAAAACACAATATAAAAACGAGTCAATTCCACATACGACTGATTGTTTCACAAATTCTATTAGTGTTAAATGTTGTGATATTCTAGGTTAATTGCAAACGGGTGAAAGGTTAACATATCAATAATTTAATATTGCTTTGGGGTTGACACCTCCCGTAATGTAATATTGAAAATGCATGGTTGCAAAGTTAGAGTTAATTAAAGGCGACGTTTAAAGTGCATTCGAATCATTAGGTAAATATTGAAGGCATTGTATTTTATTAAATACCCAACTGTATTATAGCAAAAGATTTGTATAGGTTTAGTCATACAAAAGTGTACAAATATAGTTATATTTTTAAACGATTCGTTTTAAAAAGTAGACTTAAAAATGAAATTGACTATTTGAACTACTGATTTGTGAGCCGAGTAAAACTAAAAGTTAACGTTTGCATAAAAAATCAAATAGTTCACGTTATTTTCGGTATTCTATATTTGAATTTTCAGCAGTCCCTGTGTACTAGCTAATCGAATAAAAGAATTCAGCAGACATTTTATATTCGATAGCTTCAAATGATTTTTAATAAAACGTTAATTTGAACTATTAACAAAAATACAGGAAACAAGCCAAGTTGGATTTCCAATACCGAAAAATATAATACAACAAATTATGTTCATTACATATAAAGGAAAAAACACATACACAATTATAATCTAACACCGTATTTACGTCTGTGCCGGGGAAAGTAAAACTTTTCTTTTCATAACAAACAAAACTTGTTTGCCATATTGAAAGGAAACAGCTCGATTAGCAGTTACTTACCAGGTTGAAAGAACTTTACTTCAAACCTATGGCAGTTTATGAAAACCAGCTGAAAACGGTTGCATTATCCTATGAAAAATGTATGTATGAGTTGTATGGCAACCATCGCGCGCCGGTGCTCGTGGTTTACGAAAGGATATATGTATAAAAAAACAGGCTAGCGCGAGTTGGTATCGCATACATTAAACAGGATTTTTCTTTCATTCATCTGAAGGATTTTTGAAAACGTTATAGTTATCGTAATAAGGTAAAGTACCAAATACGCTTTAAAACATACAACCCGTATCGTAAACTCGATCAGTGATAGCAAATTGTCTTGATATATCATTGAACAGTTGTTTGCACACCTTTCTCAAAATTCTGTGGAGAATTCCTATCAAACGTATTTTTAAATGGAACTTCCAAGTGTAAGGACATCTAATAAGTACCTACGTCTTAAACCTTTATGCTTTGTGGATCGTCCAGGTGTACTCCAGCCGTGTGAGGGGTACAATAACTCGAAAGTTCTGCGTATTTCACAGCAAATAAAACTTCTTTATAGGATTTCTCTATAGTGTACGCAGACACTAAGCGGGCTCCGAACATTGCTTTTGTGATAGATAATCCAGTATCGTTGGAGCGGTATGAAATCTTGCTCAATACGTTTAGCAAATATGTCTTTAAAGTTAGTTGGGATTGGTCTGCTTCACACTTTCATATTATTTAGATTCACGTGTAATCTATTAGAGTGTAACTGATGGTTTAGGATAAATACTTAGAGCGCGAGTTCTATTAACTTTTTGGCAAAATTTCGCTGGCTATTCTAATTAGATTAAACTGTTTTATGTTGTATCTTGTTTGTCTTTCAACCTAGCAACGACAGCTAAGCCGCGGGCGGGGCTAGGTAGTACCTTTTAATTTGTATCAGTAGCTTAAAAAATCGAATTGTAAGAACGCCTCATTCCTCAATATAGAATACCCTTCACTTTGATTGGTTCACTGTAATCAAGCTAAATGAATTGAAGGGATAAATAAATAATGTATGTCGCTTAAAAGGATCCATTTACTGGGTAAGGGTAGCAACGGATTTACTGAGGGTTTCTTTTATTTTTCTATTATGAAGGTTGATGTATAAGACTGAAAAGTAAAATTTTGTAGATTTAGATAATGTATTTCGTAGCATTGCAAATTGGAAATAATGTGGATACAATGCATTACACACAAATTAATTAGAGCTTACTAATTATTTTGAAAGCGAGACGAATCTTCGATTTCATACTCAACGGCCGTCATTGTTCATGCTCTCGAAGTACTTTATTTCAAAATATCGTCTGAAACGTAACGAAGACGATATATGGAGAGTATCGAGAATTGAAACAGTAGGTATGGTTCGCGGACAAATTGAGCGTTCATCCATTGAGAATGTTCACGTGGTGTGCTGTCAGTATGAGTGCACGGACTGAGTAGTGATGCGATGACGGCGCGGAGTGCTCGAGCATCCTCGTGATCTATTGACGTGCATCGTCGCAGTTTCACACTCACTTTCAGAAATGTAAACCAATGAAAGTTACCAGCATACCCCACCGAACAACGGCTTCTATGTCGCACCGCTCCACATACACTTTTTACACATTCCTCACTGTACGCCACATCAATCAATTTAATATTTTAGCTACGAAAAAGTCACCCACAATTTTATTGCTTTAATGTTATATTTCTTTTAAAACCTAACAATGTTTATTGTGAAAAGTTATCACGAATCTTCAACTTTTTCCGTACCGAAACGTTATTCTTAGAATTCCTTCCGATAATGTTTTAATAGGGAAACTTATTAAAAGGGCAATTGATTAAATTGTTTGTTCTTTTCAGCCGAGCTGGTTGCGTACAAAGGAATTCTGGGACAAGTCCTTCGAGGATCGGTATGAAAGAATTCATAACGATACTACACGGCCTAGGTTGAAGGTAAGTTATACAGTATTAGTTTCACGTCATTCAACTATTATGTTCTAATTTGGACAAGTGACGGCTTGACACGAAGCCCGGTAATACAATACGGACTGATTACCAACGTGTCAAATACATGTCACGGTATTGCATCTGAATAGCGCGGGAGTAAACAATGGTTTGAATTCGATTGCCAGGTAATCGTGGTTCCTCACTCGCACAACGACCCGGGATGGCTGAAGACGTTTGAACAGTACTTCGAGTGGAAGACCAAGAACATTATCAACAACATTGTGAACAAACTGCACCAGTACCCGAACATGACCTTCATTTGGACCGAGATATCATTTCTGAACGCCTGGTGGGAAAGGTCGCACCCTGTCAAACAAAAGGTACACTGTATAATAAACCAACAACCTCGAGTTGTCTTTGAAATTATTTTCGGGGTCACTCATTTCTCGCAGAACTCTTGATCTGTTTTGTGTAACAACAAGCTTTGAACATCGATAGTATAGCCAGCTTTATTAGAGATATGTTTGTAACAATGGGACAAGGGTTTTAAAGATCTCACCTTTCAAAGTTGAACCGATAAGAGGCACTCTTATATTATATTATTCTTTAACTGCTTTTCAGATTTATGAGTAAATACATTTATCTATTCTTTGTGTCTATAATTCATCGAAGCACTGAGAATTGTGAATTACAATTGCAGTTAAAAAATGAATAAAAGTAACGTTTCGTTCGCTCATGATTTTAATTAAACACAGCCACAATAGGATTTAAACGGGCAGTAGGCGTGCAGTCACCTGCACACCAATTACATCATGCTGCGATAAAATAACCCCGCGGTTCACTGGACAGATTGTGGTCATTTCTTGCTGAACACTTCACTGTGTGTTCTCAGTACTCATTAAACAAAAAATATAATAATTAAATTTATTACAGGCATTGAAAAAACTTATCAAAGAAGGTCGTCTTGAGATCACGACGGGTGGCTGGGTGATGCCTGATGAAGCGTGCACACATATCTATGCGCTAATTGACCAGTTTATCGAAGGTAACACACATTTCTTTCAAATGTTTTTGAGGTAAATACTATTCAGATATTACAATAAGATTTATTCCATAGGCCATCACTGGGTGAAAACTAATCTCGGCATCATCCCGAAGACAGGGTGGTCTATTGACCCCTTCGGTCACGGGGCCACTGTACCTTACCTGCTAGACCAGAGCGGCCTTGAAGGAACCATTATACAGAGAATCCATTACGCGTGGAAACAGTGGCTGGCCGAGCGACAGATTGAAGAGTTTTATTGGTTGGCGAGTTGGGCTACTACGAAGCCGTCCATGATTGTCCACAATCAACCGTTTGATATTTATTCAATAAAGAGCACGTGTGGTCCCCACCCTTCAATTTGTCTCAGTTTCGACTTCAGGAAAATTCCCGGAGAATATTCTGAATACACAGCTAAACATGAAGACATTACGGAACACAACTTACACAGCAAGGCGAAGACTTTGATAGAGGAGTACGACCGTATCGGGTCTCTGACGCCGCACAACGTGGTGCTGGTGCCGCTTGGCGACGACTTCAGATACGAGTACAGCGTCGAGTTTGATGCCCAGTACGTTAATTATATGAAGATGTTTAACTACATCAATGCTCATAAGGAAATCTTCAACGCTGACGTACAATTCGGAACTCCACTCGATTACTTTAACGCCATGAAGGAGAGACATCAAAATATACCCAGCTTGAAAGGAGACTTCTTCGTATACTCTGATATATTCAGCGAAGGTAAACCGGCTTACTGGTCAGGTTACTACACTACTAGACCCTACCAGAAAATTCTCGCTCGTCAGTTCGAACATCAACTACGATCGGCAGAAATTTTGTTTACCCTCGTATCGAACTTCATCAAACAGATGGGTCGACAAGGATTCGGAGCTTCTGAGAAAAAGTTGGAAAAATCTTATGAGCAGCTTATCTATGCGCGACGGAACTTGGGCCTGTTTCAACATCACGATGCGATTACAGGAACGTCAAAGTCCAGTGTAATGCAAGATTACGGAACCAAGCTTTTCACAAGTCTGTATCACTGCATCCGCCTGCAGGAGGCCGCGCTCACTACCATCATGATTCCTGATCAGTCGCTGCACTCGCAGAGCATTATACAAAGTGAGGTTGAGTGGGAAACTTACGGGAAACCACCTAAGAAGCTGCAAGTGTCTTTCATTGACAAGAAGAAAGTTATACTTTTTAATCCCTTGGCTGAGACTCGCACTGAAGTGATCACTGTTAGGTCTAACACGTCCAACATCCGGGTATACGACACTCACAAGAGGAAGCACGTCTTGTATCAGATAATGCCCAGCATCACTATCCAAGACAACGGAAAGAGTATCGTGAGCGACACCATCTTCGACGTAATGTTCGTGGCGACTATCCCGCCCCTCACCTCCATCTCGTACAAGTTGCAGGAGCACACGAACACTTCCCACCACTGCTCTATTTTCTGCAATAACTGTGAACAATACCAGAAATCCAATGTGTTCCAAATTAAGAAGATGATGCCCGGTGACATACAATTGGAAAATGCGGCGCTAAAACTTCTCGTCAATAGGAACACCGGCTTTCTGAGGCAGGTCTATAGAAAGGACATCCGGAAGAGAACTGTTGTTGATGTACAATTCGGCGCATACCAAAGTGCCCAAAGACATTCTGGTGCTTATCTCTTCATGCCTGATTACGACTCACCTGAGAAAAATGTTCTGCATCCTTACACTAATCAAAACAACATGCAAGATGATAACATAATCATAGTGTCTGGGCCGATTTCCACGGAAATTACGACCATGTACTTGCCCTTCTTGGTACACACTATTAGGATATACAACATACCGGACCCGGTACTGTCGCGTGCTATTCTCTTAGAGACCGATGTAGATTTCGAGGCGCCACCCAAGAACAGAGAGACTGAGTTATTTATGAGATTACAGACTGATATACAAAACGGTGACATTCCCGAATTTTACACCGATCAGAATGGGTTCCAGTACCAAAAGAGAGTCAAAGTGAATAAACTAGGAATAGAAGCTAATTACTACCCGATTACTACCATGGCGTGGCTGCAAGACGAAGAGACCCGGCTCACTCTGCTCACGAACCACGCTCAAGGCGCAGCCGCATACGAACCAGGACGCTTAGAAGTCATGCTCGATCGTCGAACGCTCTATGATGATTTCAGAGGTATCGGTGAAGGAGTAGTCGATAATAAACCGACGACTTTCCAGAACTGGATTTTAATCGAATCCATGCCAGGCGTAACGCGAGCTAAGAGAGACACTAGCGAACCAGGTTTCAAATTTGTTAATGAGCGTCGCTTTGGCCCCGGCCAAAAGGAAAGCCCTTACCAAGTACCGTCGCAGACTGCGGACTACCTGAGCAGGACGTTCAATTACCCGGTCAACGTGTACCTGGTGGACACTAGCGAGGTCGGTGAAATCGAGGTGAAGCCGTACCAGTCATTCCTACAGAGCTTCCCGCCCGGCATCCACCTTGTCACCCTGCGCACTATCACCGACGACGTGCTCGAACTATTCCCCAGCAACGAGAGCTACATGGTACTGCACAGACCAGGATACAGCTGCGCCGTCGGAGAGAAGCCAGTCGCCAAGTCTCCCAAGTTTTCGTCCAAAACCAGGTTCAATGGTCTGAACATTCAGAACATTACTGCAGTCAGCCTGACCGGCCTGAAGTCACTCCGACCCCTCACTGGTCTGAGTGACATCCACCTGAATGCTATGGAAGTAAAAACTTACAAGATCAGGTTCTAAAGACTGCTAGTAGTAATAGTTGTAACACATTTGTAATTTTATAATAATTTACAAACTTTATCGTGAACTTACAGCCAGACAACACCTCGGCGATGTTATGTAAGTGGAATAAGTAGGAAGATACAATTTTGATGGTACTTTAGTAGAGCCTCGTACTAACGGGCCGCATAATAGTAAGTAATGGTATTAGGATTATTTTCGATTCACGTTATGCACTCACTAAGTCATTGTAATTTGCGCCGTATAACCTGATGTTATTAATTATTAAATGATATAATAATTTATTGTCGATCCCTGTGGCTGTTTAAGTTTAACAGAAATTTCGACTAACTAGATAAATCTACCTCAGGACCAAATGTTATACCTGTTCATCTATTGATTCTATTACAAATGATTAATTATACTAGTTCAATTACTTATAGTCTATTTGAATCTCCTATTACTTATTAAACTTTTCTCATTCACTTTTGTATAAATTATTTTCTTCTATTTTTAATCTACAACACGTTTTCTTCAATGTTATTGTCACGCTACACGCTAGCACTATGTTTGGGCGGAGGTTTCATAATAAGTAAATACTTACATTCATAATAGGTACTGTGATAGTGGGCATGACATAGCAGAATGTATTTATAATAATTTAGTTACCGATACTCGTGATACAAAATAATTATTAAGTTCAAAATAGAACTTAATAATTATTTTGTATCACGAGTGTGCTCGTTATGTCTATTTCTTTAATTACAATACAATCATGTTGTTTACAATTTAGACGCTACGCGATGTATGTGACATAATGATATTAGGTTGTGTTTCTTATTTTTTGAAATCATTTAAGTATTTTTTTAAGTTTGAAAGTGATATTTGAGTTAAATTTAATATAGTTAGTTATAATTTAATGCATATGCTAGGCATAATACATAAATGAAAGGGAGGGTGTAGTTTACATGTATATGTATGAACTTGGACGCCTGGTTTCACCCTTGCCTTAGTTATAAATGCCTTATTAATAAAAATTATACAGTTCTCAAAGAACAAATAAGTAAAGTAATAGTAAATGAATCCAGTCGAAAAATGAAAGATCTGTGTAGAATTTTTTTAATAAGGCTATCTTATAAATGCATTTGAAGGACCAAACAATAATTTCCTTTAGTTTTATTACATAAGCTGGTTCTCCTAATTGGTTAATTTAATCGCGCTATTTCCATTTTGTTAATGTTATTTTGTATATAATTGATTTAAAAGTGTATAATTATTTATATAAAATAAGTTTAATTTTTATATTTTGAAATGGCCACTTTTAAGTTAGAATTAGTACAATTAAATCGACATATTTTTTATTATTTATGGCTTGTTGTAACTTCGAAACTTGTTGTTTTGAATCTCATAGCTAATATTACAATTTGAATGATGTGTACCGATATCAACTTTTTTCTACATAAATATTTATTAATGTGATAAGGTTATACTTGAAATCATTACCATCGATAATATTTAGTCAATGAAATTTAGATTTTAAATAATGATGTTAATCAACACTAATTGTAAGCAGATCTTGTTTAGTTTATGCATCTGTTTCTGAATTAGTAGAACTGTAATAATCGTTGTATAATTTGGTTGTACTTGACGTAATTTAATCATAGACATAACCCTAGAAACTTAAATTGTGTGTACAATTTTTGTCTGAAAACTTGTAGTAGATGAAATAAAATAAATAAAGTATGCAAGAAATTGTTTTATTAATACATAAATACAATGTATTATTATACCCCATTCACTCAAAACAACGGACAGTAATCCAGATAGGTCTCTCATTAGAATTAATTATTTTGACAATTATAATGCAAACAGTAATTAGGAATTTGAATATATGTAACTTTAACAAGAGTACTTATGGGCCTATTTATAAAATTACTAGTCACAGATACACGGCTTGTCATTTCTTCTTTATTCTACTCGCAATCCATTCTAGGCCTAAGTGCAATCTGTAAAGAAAACATAATAAGTCATTAGACATTCCCAATTACCAATAAAGTATCTAGGAATTCATTTTCAAACTCTTCAGATCACCTTCAAAAATACTCTATAGTAAATTCATAAACAAACTTTATTATACTACAGAATAAAAATAGAACCATGAAAATGTTATAAAAATATCGTTAAGTAATAAATAGAACTCAAAAACAACTATCTCATAGACTTTCTTCGTACTTCCACTCGTAAAGTTAATCAGTAATTTTATAACTTCAAATAAAGGCATAAGTAATAATTTTTGGATCAGAAGTTCATTTTTAAGTGTATTTTGACTAAAAAGTATGATATAAGCGCCAAAGGACCACGCGAAAAGAAATCGAACTTTAAAATAATACTTCGATACATCGCGAACTAAGTTACTCCTGACGGAAAAGTTTACTGACAACTTTGATTTATGGCTTGTAGGTACAGCTACTGCCATCTGTTGCACCTGCACAACACTTCATAGCGTATGCAAGCGGCGCGAGGCGGGAAAACTCGAGTCTCATGAATATTTATTAGGTTGGTATTCATGAACGAGCGCGAATGCGGTTCTGTAGCTTCAGTTAGATTTAGAGGATAATTTTATGGGTGCAGGTAATTAAAATGCAATCATTTATATTGGAAAGAAGTATTTATTAAAATTGAATACAAAATGCTACATTTATAGACATTTCCAGAAAACTGAAATCTAAAATAGAACCTACTACTACCACCTACAATTTATGATAGTGCGTTATACATGTTTCAAATTAATATAATTGGAATAGTAAGTAGACATTATAGTTATTAGACATCAGTATCGAATGAATAAAATACACAAACTTATTATCTAGTGCGTCTAGAACATCGAACGATGGCGGCGGCAGCAATACAGTACAGGTCATGACTCCGTTTTTATTACAATAAATTGAATTATACAACAAAGGAATGTATATTTTTTTTAAATCTACATAAACCAAATAATTTACTCCAATATGACAGCATGCTACCTAAATTCGACACATATTTTAGTATAAAGTGCATAAGTAATATAAAGATACAATAATTGATCAAATGCATGAATTGATATAGTAAAAGCATTGAGTACTTGCACTATATCTTAACCTAATACATTGAATATTACATAAAAATACAAACACGGTTTCCTTATAGTGATATCAGCAGTTATACGTAAAGACATCTCAATCCGACCCAGTGACTACTGTATATGACTGATTGACTTTGTATCTTTGTAAGAACTGTGTTGATAAAGTTCACATTATGTTCCATTGTATTTTGACCACTTTTCTTAAACGGAATAAGTCGTGTCTACAAAAAGTTTTCATTATAATATAGCAAACAAAGTCTACATTTACAACTTACTACTAAAAAATATGACTGGGAAGAGCCAGCGGGAGCCAGAGTCACCTCAGTAACCTTGCCAAAGTAAAACTGTGCAGTATGAACCACACACCCACTACAAAAATTCATAGAATCGGTACTAACAATACGTGATTAACGTTTATCGCCTATTTTCCTCGCATCTTTGGTTTGAAAGTATTTTGTAATAGAACTTAAATGTTTGTATCTAAATCTAATTCTACTTTTTTCTAAGCTTCCGAGTTAGAAACTTACTTATTATTAATCAAAAACATGTTTTACAAGTTTATCGATATATAAATAATTCTACAATTACGTTTTTAGAAGCACCTACAAGATAATTATAATTGATTTTTTAAAATCATGTAAATTGTCGAACTTTACCATTCGCTGTTGGCACGCCACTATTTGTCAATGACAAACCAATAAAAACGGTTTTCATATCACATTCATGTCTTCACACAGTCTATGAACAGGAAAATCTCTGCCTCAAAAATGCTATTATGCAGCCTATTAACAAACATAAGTATGAAACAATATATTATTACTAAATAATATATTGTTTCATAACATCGTACATATCATATCGCTACAATGTACTCTCGATTAATATACAAGCATATAGATAAATATGTCCGTAGGGACATTTGTATTTGTATCTATTACTTGCCGATACTGTCAAATTAGGAACAGCAGCGCGACAGTCGTGTGTCGCGGAATGCTGTTAATGAATATGGCTTGAAACTACTAGAGTTCCTCGCCAAACATTGAGTAATTCGAAAACATAATAATTAATTTACATAATTATCTAGTATGACAACGGTATAATATCTAAACTACTTAAACAACTTATTCTATACTTTTACCCTAATGCCTTACACTCACAAATTACAAAATACCATTACCATAATAAATTATATCGATATTAATATATATTGTAGAATATCCGTATTATTTCTATTGACAAAAACCGAAAAAAAAAACACCATTTCATAAGATATACAAGACAAAACCATAATTACATTAGACATCAGAAATTAGGTACATTAAAATAGATTTAGATAACAAGGTATGTAACAGTTGATGAAATATACCATTTATCCCTATATCTAATACTGAAGGGCAGTTGAAAAGTTTTGGGCCTAAGGTATCCAAACGATGAAGTAAAAATGGCAGACACTTAAATATACTGAGTAAATATACTAAAACAAAATAAAAATATTCAAAAGATAACTCCGATATTGAGCCTTTTAAGTTCAATTCAATTCAAGACCGCGTCTAGACAAATGGCGCCCTCCAGCTGGGTGTTGCGACGATATCCGCGAGGTGGCTGGCAGTGGTAGAACGAGGAGAGCTGAAGATCGAGCTCAGTAACCTGATATTAGAGAGGCGTTAGTCCAGCAGTTGACGTAAACGGACTGATGACGATGATGAAGTTCAATTACTAACGACCAATCTCAATTATCTTAATTTAGTCGAATTTTGTGTGAAGTTTATGGTCGAAATTCTATCTATCAGTAAACAAATTCCACAGATAGGTAATTCATTAAGTGAGACAAGCCAGTTGCGAGTTATAACTAACTAGCTTTTACCCGCGGCTTCGCTCGCGTCACAAGCCTATGTGACATATACCAATACACACAGCGCCATCTATACCAATAATTTCGTTTCTCCTCGAGAAAATCAAATTTTTCCGGGATAAAAACTACCCTATTATTTACTCCAGACTTCTAACTTTACGTCTGCAAAATTTCAAAGCAATCGGTTTAGTAGTTACGGCGTGAAAGCGGAACAAACAAACAAACTCACTTTCCGATTTATAATATTAGTAAGGATACTTAAAGTAAGGTATTAAATACTTTAAAATCTTAGGCTCAAACATTTTCAGCTGCACTAGTACACACTACGAACACGTTTCCCACTGGTGATATCAACAGTAATCAATATAATTTTGATTTGATTTATGAATACATGTAACTTGAATCTCTCAGGTGTCTGTTGTTGATATAGTTGATTTTCATACAGATAAATTATTTACTTACTTAATTCTAGATATAAGCTATTAGTGATATATTTTTCTTAATACTAAAACCTTAAGCTAAAGTCTTAGAACTAGTTTTACTTTAATTTTTCGCGTTTGTTTTAAATCATTAAAATAAGGCGCGTCCACGATGTAAGTGCGAGCATTGAGTGCGCGCCTATTGCGAGCCGCTTGCGAACCTTATACGGGCCTTGCATGAGTTGCGCTAAAGAGGCGCACCAAACAATTGCCGTAATTGAACGCGCGCAGCTCGCGAGTTGCGCATTCGCCGAATGTGGACGCACCTTAATGATGATAAAAAGACAAATAGTTTGAAATATCTTTCCATACAATTTCACTTGCAATCAGTGGATGTTGAAAAATGCTAAAACTATTTATTTTTCAATCCGGCTAAGAATTTAGTAGCCATAACGTTGAGATTAAATATTGAACTTAAAATAAACGCGAATAATCAAATACAATGAGATTCAAGACTACTTTATATAGAAGTAGTACTTTATATAAAAGTAGTCTTTGATAGATAGATATCAACTTTATTGATCCGTGACAAAGACAAAAATTGAAGTGTTGGCTTCAGCACGAACGTAATCGGTGTAGAGGCAAACATTTCAACTAGTATCTAATGTCTAATGGAACTACTTTTTAAAACTACGCTTTAAGCCAAATGGCATTTAAGTATTAGACGATTGAGAAAATAGAAAATTTAGTATATGGGATTGACACTTGATGTGATGGCGGTAAATGAGCAAACGGATCATCTGTTGGTAAGCAATCGGCGTCGCCCATCGACTCACGCAACACCAGAGACGTTAAAAGTGCATTGCAGGTCTTTTGGAGCTTAAGGATTTGAGAATTTAGTAATTTCATAGGTTGAGACTCTGGTGACGTCCCTTTTTATATGCGATAAGCAGTTAGACGAGCAGACGGGTCACCTGATGGTAAGCAAACGGCGTCGCCCATGGACACCCGATACACCAGAGGTGTTACAAGTGTGTTAACGGCCTTTTGAAATTGGGAATTTGAGGATTGTGGGGGATTCGGGGATTAGGGAGACTGGGGAGGGGGGTAATTGGGCCTCCGGTAACCCCACTCACACGACGAAACACAACGCAAGCGTTTTGTTACATCGGTTTTCTATGAGGCCGTGGTATTACTCCGGTCGAGCCGGCCCACTCGTGCCGAAACATGGCTGATTAATAGAACACTGGAGAACATAATTATGCATACCAAAATTTACGTTAAGTCTTTACACTATTCATTGAGTTTTCTATTTTCTGTTGACTATATTATATAGCTTGAATGTCATTTGGCTCATAGTACTGATTACTTAAAATAGAGATAGTATTCTATGTACCTATTTATGCCAATTGTTTAGTGTCCAACAGATCAATATACTTCTTTTTATTTTCCCTTGTGTCGTGGGTGACAAACACGGAACAACGATTTGCGGATAATACAAAGAGAAGTTCTTGTGGAAATCCGACCCATGTGGAAATCGGGTGAGGTATGACACATACTACACCTCGACATATTTAGCATTAGCAAAAAATAATTTGACCTATTGACCTA